CTCAGGTCCTGCACTGGTCTGTAATCCCCGCTCCCAGGTTTCTTAACAGGCAACAGAGGGGTGTTCCAGGCTGACCGGCATGGGATTAATATCCCTTGTTCCAGCAGTCTTTTAATGTGTGGCCTAATTCCTTGGCGGGCTTCGGCTGTCATAGGATATTGCTTGACAGCCACCGGGGTCGCGGTGGCTTTTAGTTCAATAATTAGGGGTGGCTGGTGTATGGCCAGCCCCATTCCTCCCGTCTCTGCCCAAGCGTCAGGGTACTTGGACAGCCACTGATCTATGTCTGTGTGGACAGGATGGGGACCATGATGTAGTCTATATTTATCTTTTAATTTAAGAGTAAGCACTTGTATGGGTGTCCCTTTGGAATCAGTAACCTTGGCTCCCTTATTTTCAAAGTAGATGTGTGCTCCAAGCTTGGTTAGTAGGTCCCGTCCTAGCAGGGGGTAGGGACAGTCTGGTACATGCAGGAAGGTATGAGTCACCATCCCTGAAGCAAGCTGAACCTCCCGGCTTATAGTCCAGCGGTAACGTTTGGCTCCAGTGGCTCCTTCTACCCATATTGTTTTCTTACTAAGCGGGCCAGTCGTCTGGGTAAGGACGGAATGTTGCGCCCCAGTATCTACTATGAAGGTGACTGGCTGTCCCCCAACATGAAGAGTTACCCTGGGCTCAGGTGGGGGTTCCTGGCCCCGACCTCCCTAATCGAGGTTAAGGATTTCAGCTTTTTCTTCCCTCTGTTTTTTCTTTTTCTTGGTACAGTCCTTTATCCAGTGTCCTTTTTCCTTGCAATAGGCACACTGGTCTTTCTCTAGTCGGACACGCCCTCTATCTCCCTTCTTCTCTACTCTGCCCTCATCTTCCTTTCTTACTACTGTGGCCAGGATTCTGCTTAATTCTTTATTTCGCTTCCTATCTCTCATTGCCTCTCTATCTTCTGCCTCTCTTTTCTGTCTTTCTTCTCTTTCTTCTGGCGTCTCTCTCTTGTTAAAAATTCTCTCTGCCTCCCTCAAGAGGTCTCTAAGACCTTGCCCCTGCAAATTTTCTATTCTCTGGAGCTTACTCCTGATATCAGGGGCTGATTGCCATATGAAAGACATAGAAACACTCACTTCTTGATCAGGACTATCCGGGTCGAAGGGAGTGTACCTGCGATATGCCTCTTTAAGTCTTTCTAAAAACACAGTGGGTGGCTCATCGGTTCCTTGCATTACTGATCTTACCTTGGCCAAATTGGTGGGGCGCCGCCCTGCTGCTCGGAGGCCCGCTGTGAGCAACTGGCGATAAAGGCGTAGGTGTCCCCTACCTTCAGGTGTATTGAAGTCCCAATCTGGTCTGGTCAAGGGAAAGGCAGCTTCTATCTCGTTGGGCAGCTGGGTAGGTCTCCCATCCGCCCCAGGAACCTGCTTGCGGGCTTCCAGAATAACCCTCTGTTTTTCTTCTGTCGTGAGGAGAACTTGGAGAAGCTGCTGGCAATCATCCCAGGTGGGCTGGTGGGTTAGAAGAATAGACTCTAGGAGGTTAGTTAGGGCCACAGGATCTTGGGAGAAGGGCGGGTTATGTTGCTTCCAATTATAAAGGTCAGAGGCAGAAAAGGGCCAGTACTGGAGTTGGTTGCCTGGCCCTGGTCCCACTCGGAGGGGAAGTATGTGAGAAGACTCTCCTCCTTGACCCCGGCAGTCTCTCAGTCTTCCTGCGATCGGGGAGGGCGCCCCAGCGCCCTGGCCTACGTCCGATACTCCCCCGACTGCTTGAGGTTGAATTTCTGGAATCGGGGCCGGAGGTGGGTAAGGTGGAGGGCTGTCTTCAAGGAGATTAGTCAGAGCTGACTCATCGGGGGGAATTACAGACTTAGATTTGAGGAGAACAGGACAGAGGGACACAGAGGGGGAGGGATCTGTTGGCTGAGGCGCCGAGGGCGCCCGAGAGGAGGGTCTAGGGGGCAGGAAAGGGGCAACCCAAGGAGGGGGGTTGTAGGAGAGGCTTTCCCAGGTAACGATGTACGGGATCTGGTCTGGGTGTCCGTAGGGTCCCGATCTGAAAACCTGCATTTTAACCTGAGAGATAATATTTGGGTCAAAAGTGCCATCTCGTGGCCACCCGACGTCAAAGGTGGGCCACTCAGATGAACAGAAAGCAATCCATTTGTTCTTCTTGACTTCCACCGACTGGTTGGAGGCTCTAGTCTTTACCTCGCGCCAATGATCTAGAGTTAGACTAAGAGGGGTAGTTAAT